GCAAAAGGTTATAATCTTTGTCGGTGATTACATAGAAGGAATGTAATGCAATTTTACTTGTAAGTTCATTAAAATTGATTTATACCTATGTTGCCATAATTTAATTTACAGCCCTCATATGTAAAGAATAATTTATTGCATTTATTGTATAATAATTCCTACTAGAATCAATATCTGTAATATTTTACAAAATTTAGAAGCCATAATATATTTCATATAAGGAGTTTGTAACTGTTTGTCAAATTTTTAAGTAGCCTTACTTAATTAACAGAAAAAATAATTTTATTTATTTGTTTTACAAATGTCAAACAGTAGTGCTTAAGTTCATGGGCTCTCCAGTACTTTGTTTTCATACCAAAAAAGTGCAATACAATTATTAGGCTGATTGGAGTCACACAAAACACAGTTTGGGAAATCCACCACTGAATTTCTGTAAAAAATCATACTTGTTCATTTTCCAAGACCCTCGTGATCAACTTAAGGAAAATAAACTGACATGGAGCGAAATTAGCGCTATATTCCTTCAAAGGAAAATCAAATTTCACGGGGAACATATACCCACGGAGAGTATTAAAGTTATTACGGAATCACCAGATGACTACCGGACTGTTGTTCAAATACAAAAGGAAAAACAAGTTGAACATCATTCTTATATCCTCCCTGAAGGATCGTTATTTAAAAGTTGTCCTTCAGAGGACTCACTGAAAACACTCCGATTGAGGATATTAAATCCGAACATGAACAACTTAATTACCAAATTAAAGATGTCAAACAAATGACCAGACGCCGCAGCGGTAGAAGTCACCAAACTCCCACTGTTCTTAATATCTCTTCCAAAAAGTGAAAAATCAAAGGAAATCTATAATGAGAGATTCTTATGTCACATGAAGATTAAATTCAAAGAGTACTTAGGCAGACAAGGACCCCTGCAATGTTTTCGTTGTCAGGGGTTTAATCACACTCAAGCGGGTTGCAATTATGCACCCAAATGTGTCAGATGTGGTAAAGAACATTTCGTTAAGGACTGCCCAGATAAGAATAACAGCGAAAAGCCATTATTCTGTGTAAATTGCGGGGGTTCCCACACTTCCAGTTTCAGGGGGTGTGAGAAATTTCCCAAAAGAAAATCTGACAAACCTAACAATTTCCACCAGTAGGGTAATTGAAAATAAATCATATTCATAGGCACCATCCTCAGGCCTATACTCCGATATTTTAAGTGAAGCAAAGCAAGTCTTCACAGACCTCGCGGAACTCGTTTCCGTCATAAAAAATGCTGGGTTTCAAATATCGCAGCAAGTCAGAGAGATTAAGGAAACTAATCAAGAGCTAAAAACCTCCTCTACTGTTGATAATGGGTCAAGTTAGACCTACAAATGTTCCCATCTCTATTATGACTTGGAATGCAAGAGGCATTCACTTACAAGCTCACGGAACTTTCAAACTTTGTTACGAGTCATGACATAGACGTGGCTCTGGGTACTGAAACCTTTGCTACGCCAAGTACTCAGATGAAAATTCCAAATTATATATGTTATAGATGGGACCGTCTAAGTCACCGAGGTGGGGGGGGGTTGCGATTTTTGTCCGCAACTCTCTGCAATCCTGTATGATCAATGATGAGCGCTATAATGGGCATGAGCTAGTCACCGTGTCTGTCCTCCTTCCGCACTATGGAAATGTTTATTTCAATTCTATGTACAACCCTCCCAAGAATATCCTTGATATCAACTACCTGGCCAAAATTCTGGACACCAATAAGCAGGTCATACTTGCGGGAGAATCAAATGCTAAAAGTCAGGAATGGAATTGTAGAAAAACGAATCAAAACGGAATTAAATTATCTGAATTCATTAAAAATTACCCAGTCTATTTTCATGTTCCTAGTGAATACACCTATCTGCTGCAAAATCCAAATGCTGGTGACATTCTAGATATTTTCCTCTCCACCATCTCCTTCTCATTCGATCTTGAAGTACTTCAAGAACTGGATTCGGATCACTGCCCGGTCATTGCGACCCTAGGTACAACTAAGGATGTCATGGATGAGCATATCAACACGACGAATTGGAAGGTCTTTAATGAAATTCTCTCTGAATGTCACAATAATAATCTTAGATTACGCACTCCTGATGACATTGAGCTTGCTGCCAATCAGCTTACGATAGATATACAAAGTGCCTATAAAGCGGCTACTAGGAAAATCCCCAGAAGGCAAATCACTGATAAATTACCTAATAAGATCAAAAATCTCATCAAAGACAGGAATAAACTTAGGAAAAGGTTTCATCTTACCTGTGATCCAAATACGAAGAAAGAGATGAATAGACTTAGTAGGGAAATTAAAAAGCAGATCATTATTCATCGTAAAGAACTCTGGGATGAGAAGATCGAGAGCTTTAACGAGCCAAGTAGCTCTTTCTGGTCTTTCGTAAGACGTTTAAAAAATAAAACCACTGTCAATAAGGCCAATTTATCATGAGCAAGGCATTGCGCTCACGAATATTGAAAAATGTAACACGCTTGCTGAGCACTTCGATAAGCAGTTCACCCCGAATACCTCCCCATGCAATCAGGAGTTTTCAACTATTGTGAACTCCACAGTGACAGAATGGATTCGTGCAAACGACAGGCAAAGTCATTTAGAACTCACTTCGCCTCAAGAAATCTTAAACATTATTAAGAAGCTCAGGAATAGAAAGGCCCCCAGGCAGGATAATGTGAACAATGTGGCGCTGAAATGGCTGCCTATTAATATGGTCAACCGTCTCACAGGTATTTTAAATGCTTGCCTGTACAATAGTTATTTTCCACGGATATGGAAGTCTGCAAAGATGATTGTGCTCCCCAAGCCGGGAAAAAATCTGACGAAACCGGAAGGGTACAGGCCCATTAGCCTGCTTCCCAGTATGGGTAAGATACTTGAAAGAATTTGTCCTTAGACGTATACAGCCACATCTGGATAAATTACCACTCGAACAGTTTGGTTTTTGGAAATCCCTTTCTACGACGAAGCAGTTGGTCAGACTGAATGAGTTCATAGGCAGTGCACTGCACAACAAAAGATACGTTGCCTTACTCATGCTGGACGTGGCGAAGGCATTTGACTGCGGGCTAATTTACAAGTTAATCAACTTAAAATTCGTCAGTGAGTTGATAAAAATTATACACTCTTTTCTGTCCAACAGGACAGAAAATTCTTTATTCAAACTTCTTTATTCAAATTGGTGAAAGCACTTCAAATAAGAAGGCATGTGAAGGCCGGGGGTCCCCAAGCAGGGATCTATTTTAGGGCCTGTGCTCTATTTATTCTATACGTGGCAGACCTACCTGCAGAACATCTTGGATCAAAATTTCTTCATGGGTTGCTATGCAGACGACACAGCTTTTGCTGTCAAGCCTGGGTCACCAAATTTTGCCGTAAAGAAACTACAACGATTTATGCCCAAGCTTGAACAATGGTGCGCCATGTGGAAAATTGCAATTAATGCTGACAAATCCAAGCTTCTGATTTTTAAGAAAAATAAAATGAACCATCCCTTAACTGTCCAGCTGGTGCTCTTTGATACTGTCGTTTCTGTTGTCAAAAGTGCTACTTACTTAGGACTAAAATATAATTCAAATTTCCTCTGGAAAGATCATATAAACTGCATCAGAGGCAAGACTATTGGGGTCATTCAAAGTCTTACGCCACTCCTGTCTGTGACCTCCAGATTAGATATAAAGAGGAAAAGGCATATTTACAATTCCATTATTCGTCCTATTTTTGCGTACGCATCTCCTGCCTGTGCAACAGTTCAGAAAAAGGAGTTAAGCAAGCTTCAAATTATTCAAAACAAAGTTTTAAGAATGATAACTAACGTATATTATTATGTCTCCAATCAGACCCTACATCGTGACCTTAAAATGGAGTCCATTGAAACGTATCTGCATAAGGCCAATGTTAAATTCTTTGAAAAGGCTCAAGAATGTAATCATATGTCTGATCTTAATGTTTTGAACTATGTAATTCTTGAGGAAGATGCATCGTTATGACCACTCGCGGCCCACCTTGCCCGGGACTTAAATTTCCCCACGTAATTTATCATGATAATTATGCACAGTTCTTGTACATAGTATATATAGTCTATATATTTTTATTTAAGTTCTCAATTGTATTTGCATCAATATTTTGTATCCTTTTAATTTCAGGTTATTTGTAGTATTATTGACAATATTGCATGATTATGTTTATTTTCTTTATGTTATGTATTACTTCACATGTCATGATGAAAGAAATTGTCGGTTTTGTCTTTGTCTTCTTTTATGATACAACACAAACATGTCACACAGATCCCTCACGGCTCCTGTTTCATGAATTTCTCGCTGCGCTTGCCTCTCAATGGCTTTGTGACTCATGGTCGCCCCCTGTAAACCACCTTTGACCTCTCCAAATTGTCATGAATGATCAACGTCATGGCTTATTTTCAAGAGCCGGATAAGTTGCGCAGTAGCGCGACATTTCAGCAATAGGCGTACAGACTAGGCTAGACTCGTGATCAAGGCAGGTTTTTATGAAGAAGCTCTTGTAGTTCCTCATTCTCATTATCTTCCAGTCTTTCTGAACATAGTTTAGTATTAACTTTGCCCTTTCTAGACCCTTCAAATAACTTTTCACAAGAACTTGGATAGAACATTCTCTGCGTAGACTTCTCAAATAATCTGTTTTATTTCCATCGTAATCTTTTTCTTGGTTTAAAGTGAAAAGAGATTCATTGACCTAGATGCATTTTATCAAGTTTTTTATTTATAAAAATGAGGTTGTGTTATTATTTAAGGTACTGTAAACGAATTTTAATGTCATGGATTTTCTGAAATATATAAACTGTGTAAAAAAGACAACTGTCAACTGACAGTAACATTCTGCAGTCCAGCAGACTTTTGCAAAGAGCTAGAATATTGTGTTTCCTGTCTTGAAATGCTTTGTGCTTGAAAAAATATCATTGCATATTTTAATATAGGAATTTACCTCACAAGGAAGGAGAAGATAAACCTGATCCATATGTTAAGATCTACATGACTCCAGATCGCAATAAAGAAACGAAACAGAAAACTCAAGTCGCAAAAAATACATGCAATCCTATATTTGATGAATCGTAAGTATTATGCATGCAGGTTTGTTTATGGGCCTTGCATTTGTTTTCCTGAATTATGTTTTTCAAATAATTCTGCTTGAAATTTGCATTCATTGCTAAATTTTCCACCCTTTCTTTATATATATATATATATTTTTAAGTATGTACTGTGAATATTTGTCCATACATGATGCACTGTATATGTTTTGTATGATTTTGAATAAAATTTTCTCAGAGTGTGTAAGGTTGCATAAAGCAACTAATTTCATTTCTGTAAATATTGATGTACTGATATGTACTGAATATACAGAGTTTCTCAAATTAAGGTAGAGAATATTATAAAATCAATTTCAATACTGATGTTGAAGGGCTTTGTTTGTAAATATGAAAATAACTTTTTGTGTGGTTTATTATTTCAGAAATTATTGATTTATAAATAATTTTATCTGTTTTTTACATTTTATTTGTTTTAATTATAGCTTTAATTTATTTCTTTTTCCTATGGTTGATGCTTTCCATAGAGTTCCTACACTTTTAATTTTAGGAATTGAACCCTGGACTTGCATTAAGTCTAAAATCATCAGATGTAAAACTAGTGGCCAAATTTAATATCAGTAGGAGCTGCACATTGGCATTCAGGAAAACTGAAAAGCTACAAGTAGATTTCCAAAAGTTGCAAGTAGATATTTAAAGCAGTAAAACAGTTCTTTAAATAGAAAGAAATATTTCAAGTAGTTTATTATTATTATAATTTAAATAGTTATTTAGTGTAACTAGGAATAAATAATTCTTGTTGCTCATAAGGTGCATCCAAGAATGCATGTTCCTATGAGGCAGAAATTAAAAAAAAATTAATACAATATACTGAACAATCTTTTTTTCTAAGACAGAAAATCAAGAATTTTTTTTTTTTGGTTCTTAAAAATTATTTTTTCTTATTCTGATTATAGTTATCATTGATTTTTAATAAATATAAACTGAAAAAGAAGATTTCCTTTTCATTCGAGTAAAGAATTAGGTTGTGATTTTCCAAAAAAAAAAAAAAAAGGGGGGGGGGAGGGAAAAAAGCATTTTCTTTTTGCTTTTAATTCTGAAACATTTAAGATTATAAAACAGAGTACTCTGTGAAAAAACTTCAAATTTGATAAATGAAAATAGTTTAAAGCAAGTTATCAGCTTTATAGGTTTTTGCATAAAAAAATTAATAGTTTTAAGTATGTAAATTATTGATCCTAATAATCTGTGTTCAAAATGATGTTTCTTTCTCTTTTTTTGAAGTGTTTCAGGCAGTTAAGAAAGTTGCAGAAGATAAGCTATTAATTGACATGATTACTGTATTAAGCATAAACATCCTTGAAAATTTCTTGAAATGGAATAAATAGATATACAGTCAAAAGTCGTTAATTCGGACACCCATAATCCGGAATGATCTATAATCCGGACCTCAAAGCTACAAACTTTCTGCGCATGCGTCGCTCTGACGCATGCGCGTAAGACCTTTACCGCTGCGAATTTGCGTGTGCGCAAAATACGTTTACGAATGCTTGTTTAATGTATAACGGACGGGATAAGCTAAGCTAAAATTATCTAATATCTATTCAGTTAAGTTGCAGATTGCGTTGTTCCTTAATCTTCGAATTGGATCCGGATTATTATTTTTGCAGACTGTTAGAGCAATTTTATAAAAGTAAGCTTGAACTTTCGATTATGTCAAACAGAATTTCCGATATATATTTACTAATATGTAAAGGATATACAAAGCGAAAGTATCTTTTTCGGAGTCCATTAAACAAAAGTGGAATTGCTGCAAAAAATCGATAAAGGCATATCCTTTGTTTATCTAACTTTAACGTTTGTTTGTTTATCTAAACTTTTTATCTTAACGCCGCGGCGTCAATGAATTGGAAGTTGATTTGTCAGCACTATCCTTATCTTCAGGGCAGATGTTTTTTATTTTATTTGGCTTATAATTGCTTACTCAATGTAGTATTTCATCTCGATGTACTCCGTCTTTGATATGATTTAAATCAAATGCCTCGTCATTATAATTCGCTTCCGATAGCGAAGAAAGTCACAGACGTTATTGAAAACGAAAAAATTTCGATTGACAAATTAGTCGATATTTTCGACACAGCAATTATAGGACTTAACTTTAACTGAACAAGAAATTATGTCTGTTTATAGAATTAAAGTGAATGTATTATCACATAAAAAACGAAGCAGCTTAAACAACTTACATTGAAAGAAATGTTTAATAAAGTAAACAAATAAATATTAAGCTTTTTTTTGTAAATTTTGATACCCTTTAGATTATAATTGTTCTTTATTTCATAAATTACGGTTTCATATTTTTAATTTTATAATTTCTGCATGCCATTTTACCAGATTTAAACTTATGATCTATAATCCGGAAAAATCGATAATCCGGAATCGCCGAAGTCCCGACGAGTCCGGATTAACGACTTTTGACTGTAATTAATTAAAGTGAGCATAATCATTTTTTGAAACTCAGTCCCCTTTAATGTAATGGGACTGTGGTTTTGAGTATTAAGATATTCTTGTGTTGTTGAGAACCATTAAAAATTTTCTTTTTCATAATCTGAAAAATGTTTCAGAAAATTGAGGTTCCCCATTATCATGAAGTTTATGTATTAATCAATTCATTGTTTGTGTTAATTCAGCTTAGTGCCTAACAAAATTTGAACACTGATTGTGTTAATTCTGATACTAATCAAATTAGCAACTCAGTCTTTTAAGTTTCCTTTATTGTGTTATGAATATTTATGTATTATTGTATATTATTACATATTATATGTATCATTTATGTTATCATATACATATGGTATTTATGTATGGTAAATTTAAAAACAAGTTTATTTTCAATCTTAACAGCGAAATAGCGATCATTCAGCTCAAATAAATGGCAGGACTAGTGTTAAATATATTAAATAAAGTATTGGAAAAATTGGAATTAAAAAATTCTCTGCATTCTGAAAGAAATTTGCAATTTGTTATTAGAATCAGCCTTTTCACTTTTTTTTTTTTTTTTTTTTTTTTTACAGATATGCATACAATGCACATAACTGATTTCACATTTTTTTATACACATTTTGCTTGGGAGAGATGGGAACATTTGTTTCCCTTGTGTATATTGTCTTATTTTGATTTGTGACTCTGCTTGTGGATTGATATAAACTAAAAAATCACTATATGCTTTACATGGCATTTATATGATTTGTTTAACTGCATTTTATAAAATTTTTCTAAGCAAAAGGTAGCTCTTGTTTTGTAAAGGGCTATATAATTTATCACGTGATTTATCATTTTATTCCTTTTATTGTCACATCTTAATAAAGTTTTCTAGCTATTTTCATTTGCTTATTTTACTGAAGATCTCTTCTTTTTCATTTATGAAAAGCTGTAAACTTGTTCTAATATTATAACCAGCTCTTAATTTCTAAAATTAAAAGTGCTTGAGCTCTACAGAATGCCATCAAGAAAGGGAAATAAAATAATAGGCAAAATAAGTAATGAATAATTAAATAAAATATCATGAATATTAACTGAAAATTAAGTAAAGTAATTATGGTAGTACAATTTTCGAGACAGATAATTACATGCTGCTTTTAATATAATAATAAAAATAGTTTAATTTGTATAATAAGCCGATTTGAACAATAATAAATAAAGCGTAGCTGGACAAGCAACTATGATAACAAAAACAGATTGTTACCAACATATAAGCAACAGAATAAATATTATTTTGTTTTTCGTTGCTATGAGTTACCAGACTTGCAGCGTTGAGTTGTAGTAGGCAGGTCGCCACAGTACTCCTCTCCACTGCTAACGATACCTTACAAATACTTTGGGTTGATGCGAACTCGACGACCCGAGCGTATTCTTGTCGTAGCATCTGATAAGTCGGAAGTCGTGGTTTCTGTCGAAGGCTTGGAACAGCTTACACTGAAGTCTGCTGGAGATAGATGTGGATCTTGAGATGAAATTTGTGATGGTGAAGACACATTCACTCCAGTGGCTTCTGTTGTCCAGGTAAATGCCGGCTTAAAACGGTCGTGAAATGTTTTTTCATTTCGAGATAGCACTTGATGTGGACATGAAAATTGTGGTGTGAGAGAAGGCTCTGAAGCATCACATCTGAGAAAAACATGAGATGAGTTTCTATGTTCCTTATGCACAAACACACTTTGTTTGAAATGAGCACTGGCAGGAACTGGTTGCAATTTTGACATGCAGTTTCTAAGCTGTTGCACGAATGTAACAGGATCGACGTTGCAGATAGATGGATTGACTGAATATATGAAATTCCCAGGCACGCGGAGATTAGTACCATATACCAGTTCGGCAGAAGAGGCATTCAGATCCTCTTTTAATGCTGATCAAAGACCTAGAAGTACAGTAGGCAACACATCAGTCCACTGTAATGTAGTGTGGCATCGAATTGATTGTTTTATGGAGCGATGAAATCTCTCGACAATTATATTGGAACTTAGATGGTAGGGGCTGGTTCTGACTTTGTAAGTGCCCAAGTACTTAGTGATGTGAAGAGTTGGAACTCGAACTGACGTCCCTGGTCAGTAGAAATCTGCTCCGGAACTCCAAATCGAGAAATCCAAACAGTGTAAAATGCCTTTGCGGTCGTATCAGCTGAAATATCTACCAAAGGAATGGTTTCAGGCTAGCGAGTAACTCAATCAATGCAAGTAAGAATATAGGAATAGCCATTAGAAGGCGGCAATGGCCCGACCAAGTCGAGATGCACGTGATTGAAGCGAGATGAGGGAAAATAAAAATTTTTAAGTTGGCTGGTGGTGTGTCTGACAGTTTTAGATGTTTAGCACTCCAAGCATGAAGGTGTGCAGTTGGCTATGTCCTTTTGCATGCTAGACCATACAAAATGTTGCTGTATCAGTTTCCTCGAAGCCTTGGCGCCAGGATGCAACAGATAATGTAACTGACTAAAAATGGCATGGCGAAACCCGGAGGGAGCATAAGGTCGAAAT